TAACTTATGTTACTGACAACGTAGCTTTTTAATGGTGAATTGTTTTTTAAATCAGCCCAGTAGTTTTTGAGTTGTTTCAATACATACAAAAATACAAATCTTTCCTCGTCATATATTAGTATAGATATGCTATTAATGACGAAAGCATAAAATTTTTGTCTATGTCACTTAGTAATAACATAGCTTTCTAATATGAAAGGTTTTTTTTAAAATCGGTCCAATAGTTTTTATTTTTATTCGTTACATGCAAAAAGACATATTTCCTCTTTATACTATTAGTAACATAAAAAAAAACACTTACATAAATATCAAAAGGCATAGCGGGTTTGAAGACTTGCAGTGATCCTCCTAGGAAGGTAACCGCTAAGGAGGAGTTGAATATCCTCGCGATGCTGTACCCCTCGATGACGTCATCGAGGAAGGGGTCCCCCACCGACGCCGTGATGATGACCTCCACACCCTCCAGTGTGGGCACTAATTGTGCTAACTCTGACATCGGGTATTTGAAGTCATATGTCCCGTTGAACTGTTCAAAAATAAAATGTATTAATAATTTTTATTTTATTATCAAAGTTTACTTGAGGTTGGAAAAATAAATCTCTAAGAACATTTTACATTTTAAGACTGATTTCACATTTACATCCTTTTTGTTCTACAAAAATGTTGATGTTACCAAACACACATTAAAATACCTCAATTTTCTCAATTTATTTTATGTAAAACAATATTGACTAAGTTATAGAAGACTAGCGATAGCCCGCGACTTTATCATCGTGAAATAATTAAAAAACCTTTAGCCTATATGTTCTACATCTGTGGTTAATTTCATTGAGATTCATTGAGCAGTTCTGAAGATACGTAGAACAAACATCCATCCATCTAAACTTTAACATTTATATTAGTACGAGCTGTTGCCCGCGACTTCGTTCGCTTGGTATTAGAAAACATACAAACTACCTACTATAAATTACAAAAAGCTACGTATCCCTCGGGAACCGGACATTTCTCGGGAATGAAGCTTATCCCATGTGTACTCCAGACTTTGTTTTATGTGCAAAATTTCAATAAGATATGTTGAACCGTTGCAGAATGATCGAGAAAACATTAAAAAATTAAATTAATGAATCCCACGGGAACCGTAACTATTCCAGGGATAAAAAGTAGCCTATGTGTTCTTCCAGACTATGCTCTAAACCTGTGCCAATTTTCATGGAGATCCGTTCAGCGGTTTAGGCTACAAACGCTAACAAACATCCATCCATCCATCCATATAAACTGTCGCATTTATATTAGTATAAGAATTAGGATAGATTAAATTAAACTGGTTACTTACAAATCTGAGATAAGGTAAGCGCGTGTTGTAGGGGTCATTGTAGTAGCTGCTATAGGAGGAGGTGGAATAGGTGTTGTAGTTAGGGTTGTCCCCGCCCTGCACCGCCACCTGCACCGGGTCCGGCTTCGGCATCCAGAACGGGAATTTTTCATCCTAACATCACAATTTAAATGTAGACAGTAGAAAAGTCAGAATTAATGTAATGAAAACTACATTTAACGCGATAAAAGCAAACGGTAATCCAGTACACGTTTTGTTAATTGATAACTCTAGCATTATAGCAGTGAGTTATGCAAACGAAAGAATAGTAAAAAAAGAAATTAGCTTATTAGTAACCGATTTCGTTTCGAACATATACATTTATAACCTACGTTTTATTGGTTTTTGTCAGGCGTCTCATTTTAAAATGGTCAAAAAATTGTATCTTTTGAAGTGAAACATATCCAGTTTCCCCGACTATACAATTGACTTACAAAGTTGAAGATCCTGGTGTAGACCTTCTGCGGGTCGTACCACCAGTCGGGCTGGTCCAGCTGGTTGGGCTGTCCGGGCAGGTGCTGCACGTCGGTGGGCCCGTGCCGCTCGTCCGTGTACTCGTATTGGTACGTTTCGTTGTACAAGTACGGGTTCAAGTTTTGACGCACTAAAAATAAGGTACATATGATTAA